GTAATCACTGGTAAGAAAACCACTTCATTTTAAGTAGCCAGCAAACAAAACAAGGGGAAAATAAACAATCAAATATGACAGGGGAATTCTTGAGAATTCAAAGTTTTAAAATATTCACCAAGAAGAAAATTAATTTTATAAGTAGAGCCAGGGATTTTTGTCTACCTAAACTGGATAGGGGGTGTACAAAGGTCTTCCAGTTTCATCTAAAAAAGAATTTTATGCCCCATTTACATTTTCATTATTTATGGAGTTTTTCTGATAATCCCTCCTGCTGGGAAGGAGATGACCACAGTCCCACATCTGTTTACCTTTGTTTACAGCTGGGAACACAGCCATGGATTTGTTCTGCTTCAGTAAGAAGGCAGACTGATTTGATTATTGCTTTCTAACATACCAAAAGGTTGTTGCTAAGAGTCTCACTTGGGAGAGAAATGACAGAAGGCTGGTTTTAGCAAGTTATAGGAAAGGTGGAGATGAGAAAATCAAGGGTTAACATGGCTCTTTCACCCTTTGGTCCCCAGCTGCCACCACTGAGCTTGGTCAGATAAACTGAGACCAGGGCTCACCTAATTGCTCTGAACAGGACTCCAGGTTCCACCACTGCTTGAACATTTGCTCTGATTTCAGCACAGCTGAGACCTGCACACACCACTCACCTCTCCCTGAGGTGTCATGCTGCTCATGGGGATGATTCAGGGATACAGAGGCAGGTAAGGCTTTTGCTTGATGCATCCAAAGAAGCTACGGGCAAGGCTCTCCAGTGAAGAGAATCCCCTTCAGAGCTGCACAGGCAGGTGTAGGCAACCTCCAAATAGAGGCCTTTCAGCTCGTCCTCATCCTTAAATAGGCGATTCCTCTCTAAATTATTCTGTCAATCTCCATCAGTCCTTTTCCTGTCATCCCTATTTCTGTAGGGTGGTTTCTGTTTCAAAATGAAGCCCAGTGCCTCAGCCAGAAGTGACCCCAAAGATGAACTGAGATATTACACTGGGATTTCTTTAGCTTTGAAAAAAGGATATGGTCTTTCCACAGACATCTGGGAAAGCGATTCAGCTTTTCCAGTGAAGCCTTCTTTCAATAATCAAAAAAGAGAGAGAAGAAAGAAACTTTAAGAACTCCCAGTTCAGCTATCATCTGCTACCCACTCACATTGCCAGGACAAGCCGTAGATCAAAACCTGCTGAAGGGTTTCTGACAAACTGACAGGACTTTTCATAAAAGCTCCTGATTACCCTGAGAAGCAGAGGCACTGATCCACATCCTGCAGCTAGGGCTGATTCTCCTCCTTGCCCTACCTGCATTCCAGCCAGCAGTGTCTCTGCTGCAGAGCCTCTGAAGGTCACGCCTGTAACAGCAGCTTGCCTGAGGATGAAACTCTGCCCCAGGAAAGGGCAAGTACCAGCAGACCAGAGCAATTCAGAAACATCATCAAAGCTCAGTTCATCTGTACCATTCTCTGGTTTAATAATCTGTATTATTCTCTGATAATAATTTGCTTTACTTCTGTTTACCTTGGCATGATACAAGAGTACTTTTACATAAATCACAGCAAGAGGCAGTTTTTCTATAAAGAACGAGAGATGCACCACCCTAAGGTGAAGATGCACTAGAGAGGACAGAGGCCTTGAGAGAGGGACACACTGGAGGGGCTGTAGAGGTGTGCTGGCTTGGGGTGGTGACACAAGGGACACAGACTGGGCCTGGAGATCTCACAGCTGTAAACAACTCACCAATAGCCAGTTAAAGAAGTGAAGACCTGGGGCTGGAGAAAACTCATTCTAGGGGTAAGGAAGAGAACAAGACACAGGACCCAACACACATAAAAGGCAACATATGTAGTAAGTTTTAGCATAACATGGAGCCGCAGACAACAAGAAACAAGCAAGGTCTAAAAGGGTGTTAGAGTCAAAATGGCAAATCAAACATGGTGGAGAGAGAAAAAAGGAAGGAAAAAGGAGAGAGGAAGAAACTGTTGGCACCATTTTCCTCCCTGCAAAGGGCACTGGGCAAACAAAGGTTTTCTTTCTTTCATGATTTACTTGTGTCCAAATATTATGTAAGCTAAAACCACTGAAATTTTCCTGGAAAGAAAACCCAAATATAAATGTCTTTAGACTCTTGAAAATTCTCAAATTTTGCCAAATTTGATCTCAAGTCACAAAACAGCTTTTGCTGAACTGAGCCAGAAATTTGAAAATAAATACTCAGTGAAAAACTCCTCAAATATTAGTTAATCCCAGGGTTAGGAAAGCAGGAGGGATACTAGGCAAGAGTTAAAATTTCTGCAGGACTTTGGGGGTTTCGGATTGGGACGGGAGTTGATGAAGACTTTTTTTTCTTTGTTTTGAGAAGGTAAAGAATTTTTTTACTAGCTGAGGAAGCTTATAAGTTTATCTAGAGCTTTTACTATTCTACAGCCTTACATAGAGTGCTCTGGAAACGAAATGTCTGGAGGACATTATTCAAGGGAAGAATGGATGAAAAAATCACTGATGAATACACAGATTCATTACCTGGCTGAACAAATACATTATTAAACACATAGAAAACCTATCTGCTCTGCAAAATAAATATTTGGAGAGTCTCTGGGGAAGTAACACACACAGACTTGTCCTTCATCATTTCCTCGGAGGCCAGAGGTCATCACAAGCAGTGGGGCTCTGTGCACTTTTGGCCTGGCTGAGGATATCCACCTGTGCACTGGGTGTGACATCTTGGGCAGACTAAAATATTTCCCTACCTCATTGGGATGCAGTGCAGGAAATAAAGCCACACAGCAGGTTTGTAGTAACGTAGGATTACAAATGTCCTATCAGAAATCCATCGAAGGGCCTAGAATCTTCTCTTTCCTCTCTCAATGGAGCACACAAAATGGATTTCAGGCAAGGAGAGTCTCCAGAAACATACAGCCTTAAAGGAGGCATTGAAATCCTTAAGGAGAGCGAGCCAAGCACCTGTCTTGGAGCAATCCCACCACAGTTTGTTTACTCAGAGGTATTTACCGCCAGCCCCAGCTCTTTGCACACCAGTTGCTGCTGCTCCTTCAGGCAGTTAGTCACTTGCCTGCTCTCCAAATACTATTTATTACCAACTCGTTCCCAAGGTGATTCAATTAAGAAGTCAGAGAAACAGCCACATTGCTCACAAAGCAGTAAAGAATTTCTTTTATGGTATAGTTTGTCATGTGTTCTTCCCTCCTGTATGTAAAGGGAATAATAGGATGCAATAAACAGCACTAGGCAATAAACATCTGTTACTATTATTTAAATGCCTCATACTAGCTTCATTGTTTAATTGCCTGCAAAGAAAGCAATTTAATGCCCTTATATATTTTTTCCCCTGCCAGAAACACTGTCCTTTAAACATAAGATAAGACATTTTAAAATGAAAACATTTCTTAAGATCCTGCATTTTAAGTGTCATGCTGTAAAACATATCCTGGCTTCAGGTTTCCAGCATATATGTGGTTACAACTCTTCTTTCTGCAGGTGCACACAACTCCATGGCCTTGAAAAATACAATAATGGTGTGGTGGTGAGTAGCCAGCATTGCTCCCTCATCCCCCCTCATTCCCTGCAAGGGAGATAAAGAGAAATCGTGTATCTTGTAACAAACCACAAAGGCAATGCATGCCAAGAAAACTACACAAAATAAATACAAACTCCAGTAAAGTGGGATTAAATGGGAGAATTCAGGAGCACTTGATGCAAAGCAAAAATAAAATAATAGAATCATCAGTGCCAGTACTCAATACACACTTGATAGATGTAAAGTTCAGCAAAGACATGCTGGTGCAACCCTTGGATGCCATGGGGGCTTCAAAAGCTGGGGAGAGAGCAGGGCTGGCAACTGAAGAATCAGCTCTGTCAGCTGACATTTGTTGTCAGGGGCTGTGCAGGTCCAAAGGCAGTGAGGGGAGGCTCAAGTGCCATTTGGATAAACCAGTGTTGGATAAACCTGCAGGAAACCCATGACACTGGTCCATGTCCTGTCCCAGAGAGCACAGTTGTGACAGAGAAATGGATGTAGAAAGGAGATGAGTGTCAATAAGAGAAGTAGATTATTTTGTTTACTGAGCTGCATAAAGAAAGATGTGTGCATTTAATGTGATGTAAAGCTTATGTTATGGAAGTTATTACCACGCCATTACAAACACAACTACATCTGAAAAGCTACCTATTAAAGTAGAAACTCAGTGACTAAGAAATGTAAAAGCTAAATCCACCCACACAACTTTCTTATTTCAGCTTTGAGTTAAAATACAGTCTTTAATTATCTAATTGTAGATTTTTTTATTCAAAGCCCCTGTCTTCATCAGTGAACAGCTAAATATTTTTGTTTATTTCTGCTCTGCTATTATAATGCACATCCCTTATCCTTATTTACTTAACATCATCTAAATCCTGCCTCAGAAAAAACTTTGTGCTTTTCTTCCAGTTATTCCCACTGCAGCATCTTATACTCCCCAAATACTAAGAATTCCTTGTAGCTTGTTTAGGATATCTAAGAATTATTTTCCTCAGTTTACCAACAGAGGACTAAAAGATGGAAAAATTTAAGCATAGGCCTAACAACAGCACATGCAAGTTTTGAATAATGAGACTTAGACCCTAATTTTCCAGAGTACTGAGCTTTCTTGTAGCTCAGCAACCAGAAAAAAAGTCTCACCAACTGCCTCTGCAGTTACCTCTTCTTAAAAAAACCCCAAAACTCCTGTATGCCTTTGGACATAAAGAAAATGAGAATCATGCACTTTGTGGTTAATTTTTTTGTTTATGGGAGAGAGACAAAGTTTGTGGCTGAGCAAGCTGTAGAACCTAGTTCTCCACAAAAGCATCAAGCAGCCCCTCTGAGACCATTTTATGTCTTTCTGCAGCATCCTGCCTCATTCATTATGCATTTGCAGCCTTCTCCAGCAAGCAAAGCCAGAGTTCTCCAGACAGAAAGTGCTTTCACTACACAGTCCTGCTCCATTTCATTAGTTTCTTCTGCTCTTCTCTTGGGCACCTACCAAGGCAGCCGTCTGTGGAAAAAATAACAGAACATGATATTTTAATTAAAGGCTAATTACTGTGCATACAAAGGGCCAAGTTACAGTTATATTGTATTTCTCTGACCTAATGCCAGGAGGGTGTGTTTGAGCCCAAAACATTCTTCCCATCCTCATTTGTGCAAAGATAGGAGGAGATCTTAGGTTTTTAAAAAGTCACCCAGAAAGAGGAAAAGCAGAAAAGAATTGGAATATGCATGACCCCTCTGCCTGCACGAAGCTGTTGTGAACAGAAAGCGTTTTGTGTTGGAGCTAAGGATGCACTTCCACATTGGGCAGTGAGTACCTGGTGTTCCTGGTACCAGCCAGGTGTTGGCAGTGAATTTCAGATGCTTTTTCCATCAAGCACACGAGTTCAGGCAATAAATGCCCCCATGTTCAGAAAACAAGGCATATGCTCACGTACATGTGTAAATATATGCAAATATATGCAATTATAGTTTTCAAGTGTGTTGAAAAACTGCAGTGTAGGCAGGATGGCTGTGTCTGAAGCTACTAAATGAGCAATATATGGTTGTGGGGTTGCTGTGACCTTCTCCCCAGGCTCAGCACTGTTGTATCTCTCACTGTTCACACACATGGCTCCAATCCCTGCAGAAAACCTGCTCTTCAGCCAGCAACCTGTTTGTCTTCATTTCTATATTGGGAACACTTCAGAAGAGAAGGGGGCTATCAGGAATATGCAGAGGGGAAAACCCCTAGAGAAAAATTCTGCTTTAGTTGACTTTTCTAACAACTTTAAAACTTAAATAAATTAACCAGAAAACTAAAAACAAACATAACAATTCAGAATTTTCACAAAATAAAAAAAGCAACAAAGTATTCCTAGCTGATCTGTGAACAGCAGAAATCGTCCAACTTTCTTTCCCATGAATTTGTGACATATCCCATAAAATTTCTTCTCCTTCTAGGAGCAATAACTGTTTCTGCCTGCTCTCATTTGCCTTTGATAGCACTAACAAGGTGAAACATCAGTGGCAGCCAATTTGAAAACAACTGTTGCCCAGCAATCACACACACTGAGGCACTGCTGAAACCTTCTTGATTTTTTTTCCATTGGTTGGTCCCAGGCTGTAAACAGGACTTTGATGTCCATTTCAAATGAGACTGAAACCAGCCAACAGAAAGGACAGGGATACTCAGGGACATGTGTCACACAAAGCTTGGGAGAACTGGCCAGACTGGTTCCCAAAACCATTCCTTTGGTTCAAACATGTGGGTATCTACTCCGCATAGTTGGGGAGATGCTGATATTGCAACTTGATGTTGCATCATTAATGCAATAAAAAAATTAGTAAGCCCAGGTTATTTCCCCTGTCTTCTCCCCCATAAGCTTTGCTCAGCACCACATGCTTGAAAAAGAAGACCCATAATGCTGGATTTGTGCTGTAATTGGAATTCCTATTTAGGACAACAGGCTATTTTCAATAAGAACATCCTCAAACATTTCAGATGGACTTGGCACAAGCCCTTTTATGGTGTCAAACTTAAATATGCTCAAAGTACATAGCATTGTTGTCTAGCCTGAATGACTTTGCATCTCTCCTAGGCATCACAATCAGCTTCTCTGCTTAATGGACCTAGAGCTTTTTATTCCATCCATAGGAAGTCTTGAGCTTTCAAGGGGAACAGACTAAATCAGCTCTCTGCTTGTTGCAGGACCTTGGCAGCCATGCAAGAGCTGTAATCAGAGCTTGTCTATTCATGTAGTCAATACCCCAACAGAACACATTAAAGACAAATTCAAATCAGAGGGAAAATAACTTGTCAACTGAAACAAACTCTGTGAAAGATACTGCTTTCAAAAACACAAAGGAATTACTTCTCTGCTCCCCATCTGGTAGAAGCAATGAATCAATAGATATTCAATTTTCCCTAAAAAAGGGAAGAGAGAGGTTTCCAGCCTGGGCACGTGTATTATTTCATCAGCTATTCTGTTTGCACATTTCAGACAGAAACTTGGCCAGAGGAATCTGGGAGCTCTGGGTACTGTCAGTTTTACAAAAGTGCACTTAGGCAAAAAAAAATAAAAATCAACAATAAAAAATCAACAAAGCAACAATAACAAAAAAACACTGACAAAGCAGGATCCTAGTCAGCTAATTAAATCAAGTTGCCATGTTTAGAATAGCTTCAGCCCCCAAAATGAGCAAATCCTCACTCAGACAGACAGAGGCTTTAGACCAAATGTTGTTTTTCTCTCCCATCTGTTAAAAATAAAACCTACAGAATGGCATGCCAGTTTATCAAAGTCCATCCCACTGGAATATTAATCAGTGCATGTGCATTGTATTTGACATTCATCTGCCTATAAACATTCTTTAATATTTTTCCTGCCTTGGTGCATTTTCTGCTGTTAGAAGTACTCTTATTCTGCAGTCTCACCACCTACTTGCAAAAATTATCTTTGCTATGCTAAGTAAACACAGAGCTTTATAGCTTTCTGCAATATGGTCTCTGCTCCTAGATGGAATAGAATTGAAGTTTCATTGATGTGGTTTAACTGACCATGAAGAGAGGAAAAGAAGGATAAAAAAATAAGAGAGCAGATCACGTCATACTATGTAGAGAGCAAAACAGCTTTGTCTAGATATTCATTGGAAGAATAGGGGAATGAAAACAGAGCAGGGTGCATCCTGCTGGCAGACAAATGCAATGGGAATGTGGAGAAAGAAAAAAAACTATGAGGAGAAAATTTAGGGTCAGCACAGTGGCAGCACCCAGAGGTGGAAGTGAGCTTGAGGTTTTACTAGCAGAAGGGGTCTTTGAGGGTGCCAGAGGAGAACAAAGCACTCAGCAAAAAACAACTGCTAGCTAAGCAAAAAACAGAGGCTGGATAAATCCAAACTGGAACAATTGGTAATACAAGCAGCACAAAGGACAGAAAGCGAGCAACAGACTAGAAATTTAGTAGGAAAAGCAAAACCTCTCAGTGCCATTCAGCAATGAGTGCAAAATAAGGAACCATTTGTTTTCAGTGTGATTGAAATTTCAGCGTCAAGGAGACCAGCAGACTTATCAGGAGCCGCAAGTGGAGACATGAGATAAATGTGGAGACACGATGTTCAGCCTGCTCCATGAAGCCCTGATGGGGAAGAAAACAAAGAGTGGAAGAGAACAGAGCAGAGAAGAATCCAGGCTGGAAGGATGTCAGTACCTGGGCAGCACAGCCAAGATGGGATTTGTGCAGGACCTCCACCAGGTCAGCACTAACTCACATGAAGCTGCTTTGCTTCAAAGCACAGCACCCTACACCTGAGGGGACTGGCTTTATTGCCAGTTTCTCCACCATGTGATCACCTCTTCTAATGTTGTTTTCATTAACATGCTAGCCATTGTATGAAGAACAAACCACAGTTACAGTAAGGAACTAACAGCACACAGATAACACACAACTGGGACCATGCCAGCACCTTGCTGCCCTGGATGCTCACCTCCCTCCACATGGGGGTTCTACCCTGACTCACTGATCTGACGAGGGTGACCCATATTTGGTTATCAGCTACTCCCTGGAAGAGTTCAGTGTTTTTTATGTATATAACTCTCACACTGAATGCACAGAGAGACAGACCAGCTTCCTCTGGGCCCAACAGTTCATTCAGCCCCGGGCTCTCCCATTGCCTGCAGCGATGCAGGTATGTGGGATATCTGTCACCTCCCTCACCTGCTGGCCACACTGCTTTGGATGCAGCCCAGGACGTGTCTGGCTTCTGGGCTGAATGCACATTGCTGGCCTCTCATCTACCAGCACCCCTAAGTCCTTCTGGGCAGGGCTGCTCTCCATCTGTTCAATCCCCAGGTTGTGCTGGTACTGGGCATTTCCATGACCCAGGTACAGCACCTTGAACTATGTCTTGTTAAACCTCTTGAGATTCCCATGGGCCCACATCTTATACCTATCTATATCCCTCTGGATGGTCTCCCATCCTTCAGGTGTGACACTCAGCTTAGGGTGATCTGCAAATTTATTGAGGGTGCACTTGATCCATCTGCCTGTATCATTAATGAAGATATTAAATAACACTGGTCCCAATACAGACCAGTACACCACTCATATTTCATATAGCAGCCTTCCCATTCCCATCAATATCAACAAGAATGTATTTAAGAAACCTGCTTCAAACAGACATAAGTGTCAAGATTCCTCTGACAAGAAAACACTCATGAAAAAAGTGTCTTGTAAATGAAAGGCACGAAAGACTTTTACAGAAGCAAAACTCTGCAGGGATCTCCCTTCTTCCTGTACCTCTACTACACCAGGGAGAATCAAAGAGCTGTGGGTTTTCATAGCCAGATGGAAAGAAATTTGATGAACACCTAGGTTAGAAATAAGGTGATGTTTGATCAGCTCAGACTAGTCCCATGTCACAAACGCAGCACCAGCAGTTTTAATAAAAAGCACTAGATGGGAGTAAAACATCAAGCAAAGTCTGCTTGAGGAGCAGCAGGAAGGTTTTTACAGACAGAGCGAGTAAGCAGGAGGTGCTGCTGTGAAGATGTGTCTTATTCTGATGCAGCACCAGAGTGGTCGAAGTTAACTTAAAATAAATGTGTCTGGAAGAGCTGTAATAAAGTTTGGTGCAGAGAAAAATAAGCAAAACTTCCCTGGCATGATGCAGAGACCTGGCCATCTGTCCAACCCAGAGCTGCTGCAATTAGAGGGAACTAGAGGAGCTTCTTCATAGACTAAACAATTTCCTTCCTTAGGTAAGTGTCTAGCTGGTGGTGGGTGGTGTGTGTTCCCAAATGTATGGGGTATCTATCATTCAGCTGGCAGTGGAAACTGATGAGCAGAAGTCACACACCTTGGTCAGGAGGCTAGAAACTCAGAAATATGGGAATTTTGCAGGTTTTGCTTTAAGGAAAAAAATGGCATTTACAAGCCAGAGAGATGTTTACACACTGGCAGCACATTAGCAATGCAGCTTCCTCCTCCTCAAAGCCCATTACCAGAGGCAAGCAGTGCTTTCTTT